CAGATGCGGGCTTTCTGTAATATTTATCTTTCCTCCCTGTCCAGCTCTTCTTGGTGGGTGCTTTCCAGGAACACCCTCTGCTTCTTCAGTATTATATCTTTGACCTATCTTTGCAGCTGGTCTATAGTTAAATTTGCTGTTTTTATCCCCAGGGCCATATATTAATAATCTGAAATGTTCTTCAAGTGTCTCAGAAATAAATCTATCGGTGCACTCTCTGTGCCAGAGAGATGCTGGAAATATCTAAGCACCTTTTTCTGAACTTTGTTCTGGCTGTATGCAAGCATCATGGATGCTTTGGGTGGAAAGACCACTTGCAAAGCAGAAGCATGAGCATTGAAACCACCCTTCTTGGGGAAGGTGAAAGCTAAGGACAGAGCAGTCAGTTTAGCCAGGAAAAAAGCTGCAGGGATAGCCAAGGTAACAGCTGAGCTGCTAAAGGCCAGTGACACAATTGTCAACAGAGTATTAGGACAACTGTGGGTGATACAAAGAAGAGGAGGTACTGGATGACTGATGCCCTTGGCCAGTTGTAGCAATTTGAAGAAGAGCGACTGCACTGACCAAATGCTTTAAAGAGGTGAGTTTGCTGCAGAAACGTGGTGAAAGCAGCTGCCAAAGGATGAAGATCAGTTTTAGAGAGTGGGAAGTGGAACGGCAGGAGGAGATGAAGTTAGAAGGAAAATGGGATATAAAATTCAGTAAAGGGACAGTTGAAGCGAAGGCAGACGGTAGGGGGGGACCTGGCAGGAGACATGGGGATGACAGTGCCAGGGAAATCCTGCCAGCTCACCCAAGGTCAGCCCAACCTACAGGCCAACTGCCAAGTGGATTGGCAGCCCGTTAGAGGCAGGGTTACGGCCATGCAGGATTTGAAGGCGGTACAGGTGTAGGATGGCAGAGAATGGCATGTCTGTGCAGTCCTTGTGTCCAGGAATATGTTCTGGGGTGCAGAATTAGGAAACTTGCACTACTAAGAGGCAAATGACAGCTTTTTTTCTAGAAGCAACCCTGGAAATGCTGGACAGTGTGTTTGTGCTGTGGATGCACTCTGCACTGCTAGCTCCTGGGGAGAAAACTTGTGCTTGGGGTACCAACTGTGTGCTGGTGTGTTGTGGCTTCAAACTCCTTATGTGACCTTGTGCAAATCAATATAATCTAAAATTTAGCTGTAGACAGCATCCACATCTTTGTGCTTACTGCTAGTTCCAAGAATGACCATTTAATGTCTGCTAATTTCAGTGTACACTGAACTTCAATCAGAAAAGGTGGTTAGGAGGATAAACGTGGGTCTGGACATCTGTTGGGGTTTCCATAAGCACCTTGAATAACAAGCTGTACTGACACCAGTGAAAATCCTGGAGGTCTTTACAGACCCTCTGTGTCTTTAGATCTCCAGTGTCACCAAACCCCAGCCCACTCAGTGCCCTGCATCATCCCTCTTGTAAGAGTACAATCCATCTTGTACAAGACCGTGGGGGGTTGAATACACCTGCTAGTAGCACTGTGGTGTGGGGTTATTTTAATGACTTGGGACCAGGAGGACGGCAACTCTCATCTGCACACACCTTACAGCTATGTAATGTGTCATGCACAGAGCACGTGGATGGGACGGATTTAGCTCCTGGAGGGCAGGTATTGCCAACGATGGGTATTTTCCTTGAAAGAAAACCTGTCGACCTGTTTGCAGTGGGCCTGAGGGCCTTGGGCAGGTGAAGCTGAGTGTGTGTGCGCTGTAGTGTGGTTATGCCCGCGCCTATGCTCAGTGGACATGTGCTGGCTTGCAAATTGTGGCTTACACAAGGCAACTCTTGTAGAGATCAGGAGCTGGAGTGTGAATTGGAGGAGCCTGACTGGAGGATGCCCCATGGGGGAGGCTGGGACCCTACCACATCCTCGTTACTGCTGACCTTGGCATGAGCACTGCCTGCTGATGGATTGGCTACGGAGCTGGACAAGACCCTGGGGAACCACTGTATTATCTATTATCGTCCCATCAGTGCCTCCCCTGACCCCTCCCAGCTCCGAATGCCACAGGCATCACGGAGGGAATAAATCTCTGTCTGATACTGAGAGAGAGAAGGGAGCGAGAGCAGGAAAAAGGAGAGATGAAAAATGTCCTTTTTATGACTCTCACAACAAAGCTGGCCACGTGATTCGTAGCAAACATTTCTCTTGGAAAAGGGAGAGAACGGGGGGAATCAGCAAAAAAGCAGAGCTGTTTCTCTCCCCTGGAAGATGCCCATGGGGAATTAATAGAGGGGTATGGGTGACCTTTGAAGGTAAATATCCCAGGAAAGGAAAGATATCTCAAAGCTTTGGAAAGCTCACTCCAGTGTCTGGTGCCTTGTGAAATGCTCCATGCAGCACGCGTCCACCATGAATGGAAAGCAGAGGCATAAGTGATCTGCTGTGCTACTAGAGGGAGCAGCAGGGCCAGGGTGATATTAATAAGGCACTAATAGCAACCACAGCATTTGTGTTCATTTCTATTTGGGATGATCCAGGAGAGCTCATACTTGTGAGCCTGGGAAGAACTCCTGACCTTGGTGTCTTTAGGAGACAAACCTTTAACAGTGCAGCCGAGGGCCTGAGAAGGGGCTGGAAATAGGTTGCGTGGGCTTGAGAAGCCCCCTGCACCTTACCCACTGATACCTGCAAGATCACAAATATGGTCCTGTGACAGCTGCTGAGTTGTTTGGGCTCATAACCCCCTGTGCTGCTGTACCCAGGGATGCAGCCCAGCCCCAAGGATGTGTGCTGGCACCAGCTGTAATTCCAGCTGTGCAGTAAAGCTGCAACAGGGCTGGGGATGCAGACTGGGAGGGTTTGTATTGGCACTCTGAGGATTGTCCCAGAGCATCGCCATCATCAGGCAGGGTGGCTGCAGCCACTTCCAGTGCGATGGGGAGGCACCTTTGCCCTGTGGCCGTCTCAGCCATACTGTCTGCGCTGTGCCTTGGGCTAGGAAATGACACGCAGGCTCTGTTCTTGTTGAAAAAGTTCACTGCACATGAGAAGTTTATCAAAGTGGACACTTCTAAAGGCAAGCAAGCGCCTGGAGTGATGGAAAAAGACTGTAGGCCAGTGTTCTCTTCTGCCCTGAGACAAGCATGTATCCTAGTTGCGAATGCCTTCCCAATTAGCAGCACTGAGAACGCAGTCGTACAGGGCTTAGAGTCCAAGAGCAGAAGCAACTTAAATCCATTGACAACCAAGTCATTTTTAACATGGCAGTTCTTGCTGAACCCGGTCAACTGTGACTAGGGACAGGCTTGGGCTGGGGAGTGCTCATCAAAGCTGCTATCTTTAACTTGCCAGTCATGGAAAAGTGTGTTAAATTCCCACTTTTACTGAAATGGCTGTAACAACTCCGTGGTAATCCCAGTAATTTGATTTTGTCTATAACGTGCTTCTAAAGTAAAGGGATAAATACAATCAGTCTGCATAAAAGGTAGCTATTAAGGAATAGGCAAGTTGTACAATAATAACTTTAAATTAAAAGCCCTCTCTCACTGCTTCTTCTGTCGTGGGGTCTGCAGATTTTCCTTAAAACTTTTGAAACGTGCCTAGACTTCTTATAGGCAGCCATTTAACCTCCGTTTATGAAGAAATAAAGCAAAATTGATGTTGATTTTGGTCTACATTGGGGGATACTTTTGCACCGTAAAAGCCCTTTTGCCTGCAATTTGCAGAGCAGCCCTGTCACATCGGTGAGGGCTGATACTGATAAAGATAAAGCTTTATAGCTGGGGCATTTGCAGCTAACAGCAAGCTAATGCTACATTTTCATTTTGATGCAATTAATGTTAATGTCTGCTACGAAAATTGTCATTAAATACCATTTTAAAATCCATTCAATTTGCATATGCAAAGCCCATTTACTATCATGTAAAATACACAGTGCCGTTCATCATGTCTTTTCTCTAGAATTTGTAGCTGTTATTTTTCTGGTAGTGATTATTATCTAGCTCTTAAAATGAAACCTAATGTCTGGTCCAGACCTGCACAGAGCAAGAAAAACCTCTGTGCTCCAGCAGCAGCAGAGCTGCTTTGGAGTCTCTTTCAGAGGCTTGTTTGTGTCAGACTCGCACTGGCCCTTCCAGACTGCCATGCCTTCCAGCCTCCCTGCTGCTCTCCCATGGAGGACAGGCAGTGGAAGGCCCTAGAAGCCAGTCTAAGGTGCCAATATTTTCCCCTGCAGACTCCCTGTTGCACAATTCCCTGTGAAAAATCAGCACAGCAGGCAGCTGGGAGCCGGTACGTGAGGGGAACATTAAATGGGTCACTTCTAAAGGCTGTACCTCTCAACCTCAGGCAGGGCTCACGTATGCTGCACGTTTTATAAAAATCTTTTGGGAGACGCTGTGATGCAAAAGACCTAACTCAGCATGAAGCCTTAACTATCCTGCTGCATTGCAAGGGGTTGCTGGGGAAGCAGCAGGTACCAGCTCCCTGCCAGCCCTTGGGAGGGAGCCCAAGAAAGCAAGAGAGCAATGAAAATCTTCTTTACCTTCATCCAGATGTACTGCCAGTTTCTGCCCAAAGTAGGGCAATGAACTAACAAGTGAGAGAGCATGGGATAAACAACTTGAACTGAGTCTTAAAGGCACCAGAATATTTCAACCTGTACGAACAGGTAGAAATGCTGTTGCTCTGGTTTTCTGACCCTGGGAAGCCTTTATTCTGGCTTACAACTCTTCATGTTCCTTTTAACTTAAAGGATTGTCATTGAATGTATTTTTAAGGGGTTCCAAGCCCCTAGCGCCAGAGGCAAAAGGGGGATGTGTTGTGGCATGCAGATTAGATTTAGGTATTTGATTATCTGACATGCAGGTGCAATCAGGCATGGAAGTGATGCTGTGGCTCAGTTGCAGCGTGTTCAGGTTCAAGGCGCTTCTCTCCTGGGGGCTCTGTTAGCTGAGATGTGGGGAGATGCAGATGTGAGGGGAGGACGGGATAATCTCATTTTGATAAGAGGCCCAAGCCTTCCCCCTTACCGTGCTGTGATGCCATAAGTCATGTCTGCAGGTACTTTAGGAGGACATCTGTTGAAGCGACCGTATGCATCATTTTTGCGCCGAATGTCCTTGGCCTTGTAGTACAAATTATAGTCATGGGCTGTGGTATAACCATTCTTCAGAGCACCACGGTTCATGGTGATGAAGTCTCGGGGCATACTCTGAATTAAAGCTGTTCTGGGCTTTACTGTGTTCCAGTGGCTTAGTGCTGGAGATAGAAGGAAACACGAGAGGCAAAGAGAAAGATCAGGTATCTTGGGTAACAGGCTGATGTTTGTGGACTGTGCACAAGGGCCTTGCGTGGCTGGTTTGCATTTTGCCATGGTTTCACTGTGGACTGAACTCCATATTCTATCCCACACTGCATTTCATATGGGGATGTCTCCCATCTGAACTGGATGTCTTCTAATTCTCCACCCTGGCTTGCTCAGCAAGTCTGATTTCACAGGGGTGTTGTCCCTGAGAGCATGAAGTACAAGCTCTCTCAAGTTATTGAAGTGGCCACCTGTATCACCCTTTGCAGGTGCTGTACCCCTCTCTGCTTGGGCGCTGTGTGATCCTATAAAAGTTTCCAACATGATAGAGACACTTAACTAGTCACCAAGCCATTTTGGTGATACTAATGAAAGTGGGTGAATGTTGGATGTGTTCACCTCCAGCTTGATAAGAAGTACTGAAGGGCACTAGGAAGAAGAGGAGGGTCCCTATCAGCATTAGGACTTTGTTGCAGATCTATGTTTTAGTGGTGTTGTCATACCTTCAGAGACTCCTCCGTCTGTTCTGTGGATGTACAGCCCGTATGCAAAATCAAAGCCTGGTAGGGTGTAGCAGTTTCTCTGGGGCTTCCCCAGTTCTGCCTGCAGAAAAGTGAAATTAAAGGAGAAGCATAAAGACCTTTTCTGATAAGCTAAAGCCCCTGAAAATAAAAATTTGTAAGGGAACGTGGCCACAAGTACCAGGAGTGGTTCTGGCTCCACCTGGCATGGGTTTGAATCCCACTGTCTGGACACAAGCGAGTGTGACAGTGCAAAAGGAGAACTCACAGCCATGAGCCTTCCCCAGAGTTGAAGCGTAAGGGATTCTGAAATTCACACAAGTTTGTACCGGAGTTATAAAGTGACCTAGCCTTGCTGGAAACGGGGATCCTGACTCAATATATATGGACTTGAAGTCTCCTTGTTTGGCTAGTTTCTCCTTTGGCTGGGATGCCCAGCTGTGGTGTCTACTGGGGAGACTCTGCAGCTGGTCTTAACTTTCCTTTGAGTTATTATTTTCCAAGCTGTGCATGCTCCTAGAAAACTGGTGTAAACTGCCCCAAGCACAATCACGTCACCACTCTTGTTTGGGAATAATCAAGACACAAGGCATGTTGCAGGGGGAGGATAAGGGGGATGAAGAAGGGGGAGCAGAGCCTGGGGTTTATAGCACAGAAGAGAACTTGAGCTCAATAACTTCATTTCTGTTTAGTTTTAAAATGAACTTTTCCCCAGCCCATGCATGACCCAGCCTGGTGGTGTCTGTGGGATTAACTGACCTCCCTTCACCCCTTTGTCTCTGCCCTGCCATCTCCATGGTGAAGTCACTGCAGGATGTGTGTCTCTTGAAACCTTATTGCTGCTTGAAAGGGAGGCGGTGGCGGGGGGAGGGGGTTGTGGTCAGGCAACAAGCCCCCTGGAGCCCCGTGGGATGGTGTAGGTGCTTTGGGACAGCTTTTTTTCCATGGGGAAGGGTGTTGGGGGGTTGTAGGTGGTGGCAGAACAGAAGTGGTGAAATCCTACTCTAGTGCTTCTCACTGATGGATCATTGATATTGAGATGACTGTTATTACACTCCAGAGTGAACTCTCTCTGCACCAGGAGATGCTGAATCAAATGCAGAACTTTCTGCAGGAACCAAATGAAGAGAGTGAGACTGAAAGTGAACCACCTCCAACTTGCCACTATGGCAGGTTGAGGCTGTACAGCAACACTGCTATAGAAAGGAACATCATCCAAACCCAAACTTACGTTCTGTTCCCACTGTGCAAACTCTGGCCAGGGCCTCAGAGCAGCCATGGCTCTCCTGTACACTGCCAGCCTGGTGGCCCCCCTTCCAGTGTGCTGTTAGAGGGTACTTGCCAAGTGTGCATGATGCTGCGGAGCAGCCTGAGCTGTTCTGCATCACCCTCAGCTCTGGTAAAGCTCTTGCTGAGCCAGTTGTGCCTGGAGGGAGAAGGTTAACAGCCCCCGCCCAAAACAAACACCTTTCCAGAGGGCTCTGTGTTGAGGTCTTTAGAATTTGCTTGTAATTCCCAAACCTTTTTTGCCTGGAGCCATTTTTTTGTGCATTCCATTCGAGTTTCTCAGTTCCTGTCTCTTTATGCAGCTACACAAAAACTTAAAAGCACACGACACCGGGCTCCTCACCAGCGTGTCCAAGGGTGAGATCATGCCCACTTGCTTAAGAGGCTTGTCCATATTGTGACACCAGGTCTGCTCCTTTGCAGATCCCGGGAAACTGGCTATCAGCGTTGCTGGTTTGCAGTCATTGGGATGAAATACTCTGTGCCTGCAAGCCCTTACAGCAATGCTTTCAGGTAAATCCAGGGTCTCGCTTCCCAGGTCTGGGACAGAGGTGCTTCACCTTGGTCCTGTTAAATCCATGTACTTGTGATGCTATAAAGCAGGTGTGGTATCCTCATGACTCTCTGCAGCACAAGTTCACCAGCAAATGAGTTTTCTGGACTTGCTGAGATCCTTTGATAGACTCGAAAACCCCATCAGGCTCCTTTCCCTGTGTGAAGCTACTGATCCTTTGCTGCAAACAGACCTTTCTGAAAGCAATTGACTCAGCTACCTGATAAAACCTGTGCATAACATGGCTGGTTCCCCCAGCTGCCTCCTGTGAACCTCTAGCAGAGGAGGGGACCATCCCTTGCAGATGTGTCCAGCACCAAACACAGTGGGAGTGAGCAGGCTTTTAGTGCTACCACAAATGAAATGCTACATGGCAGTGCTAAACCGTATGTGCGTGCTGTGTGTGAGTGAGGGAGCTTGCGCAAAATGTGTAAACCAGCGCCAGGGATGACAAAGTAGCTTTCATTGCTGATCTATTTCTCCTGCGTTTACAGGCATTTGTACACTGGCTATTTTTAGATTAGCTGTCACTGATACACAAAGGAAATTGTGCAGCATTCCTCAGATGCATGAGAAACGGCTTTTTCCAGGGATCATGTTCTAATACTGGATCAGTGAAGTGAGGTCAGAAATCTGCTGTGACGACAGAGGTGTGGCAGATGGGAGGAAACTGCTGAGCAACTGCAGGAAATGAGAGGTTTGTAACCTGTGGCAAAGCTGCTTCCAGACCTTTGAATGCAGAACTCTGTAGAATAGAAGAGATTAGGGGATTTAAAGGTTCCCTTTTGTAGACCACAAAGTTTGTGAAGTTAACACAGTTGGGTGTTTACTCCATGTCCAAGTGAGTGCGCGCTGCTTCTTTTTATGATCAGGTGGCATTTTACAGTCACTTTGCACTGAATAAATAAAGCTGAAGGTGCTGGATAACTAATTAAAAAAAAATCTGGTCCAATATGTTGAACATGGAGTGAACCTGTGCCTGAAGAAAATCAATGGACTCTGAGGACTCTGGTTGCCTGCCAACATCTTTTACCCACAAAAGGCAAAGAAGGGGAAGGAGGTAGCAGGAATTAATTTTACTCAGTGTAATCCAAGATTACAGCCTTTCTCATTCATAAATCAGTAAAACACTGGTGCAGCATCATGGACTGGTTTCATTTGTCCTGGGGTATTGTAGGTGTGCTGTGTCGTAAAGCTGTGGGGAGAGCAAGCCAAAGTTGATGCAGAAGGTCCTTTTTTCTTCCCCAGCTCCAGCCCTGTTTCCTGTGTTCAGGTTTAGCCTGTCACAAAACTGCTTGGCTGGAATACAGATCTGTCTGACAGCTGTGCCCATCAGCAGACAACTTCATTAAACCTCATTAAGATGTCATTTCTCTGCCTTATTTCCCACCTCTTGGCTCTAATTAAAACTGTCTCTCTCTGCATCCCAGGCGGTCCTAATTTTCTCTGGGTACCTTCTGCAAGTTTTCTCCCTTTATGACCTCAGTGAGGAAAATCCAGCATCTTAAATACTGTTTATCTGGCCCATTCGGAAAAGACAACTCTAGACATTTTCCTGAAGCATTCCCAGAGCATCCTGCAGAGATCATCCCCTCCTCCCAGGGCTGTGAGAGACGAGAGACATGTGCTGAGGCTTTGTTTGTGCTTTCAAACTGTCTTTGAGGACTCAGCTAATGCATCCTTTCCCCTTGGACACGATGATTTTCATGGTTGAACCGGGTGTGTCTGAACTGGGTTTGGAGGGTGCCATGCTGAGACTGGCTGCAGAGGTGGGGGTGCTTGATCAGTGGGGACACCCTGGCCAGCTGAAGAGCGAGCCATGTTGGGTGTATCAAGCTCCCTGGCCTTTGCCAGGTAGGTTCTGATTTGTGCTGTCCTGGGTTTGAGCCCTGGATTTGCATTTGAGTGTCTAACGATGTTGGAAAATCTTTGCTGTGAAAGAAGAGGAAGGCTTGGATATGGATCTGTTTGTAAGAGATGGGTGCGTTGCAAAGGTATAAGGAAGTACAAAACCTATCAGACTTCCAGGTTTTGTTGCAAGACTTCTTTGTATTTAGCCCCCTGATATTAATCACCCGTCGACATGCATTGCATCAATTCTAAAGATGACTGAGACTGAGTGGTAGGAGACGTGTCTGTGCAGAGCGGTACAGTAAGAAATGGAGGCATGGATTTTTAATCCCTGCATCTGAGGCAGCCCTTCACTGGGAGGGGATGCTGGGCAAATCCATGATTCCTCTCTGCTCCGACTCACCCTGGGCTGCTGTGTCCCCACCTCGAAGGCTCTGCCGTGTGGATGCCTGCAAACCCTGCGCCGGTGCATTTTCAGCCCGCCAGGCCCTGCTTCCTTCCCTACCTTCTGTTCCCCTTTTCATTACACCCCCTTGTACAGTAAAGCCTCCCGTCACGCTGCCATTACTATTATTATTGCAGATTTACTGCACTTGCAGAGTGAAGTGATTGTGGTGACAAGGCCCAGCATTTTTCCCTCCTTCCCCCCGCGACAGCTTGAAATCAAGCCCTTCATTTGCATTTACATGATCTTGCTGTGCAGCTTATGAGATCGGGAGATTTATTTGCTACTTAGCTTGATGTTTGATTACACTCTAAGAAGGCAGTGAGCTACAAAGTGCAGGGATACATCAGAACTGAGCTACTGAAAGCCTCTGGGGGACAGTAACTCAGCATCAGGTTTAGGTAGATGAGAAAGGGAATGTTCAGTGTTTTGAGAAAGGCAAATTTGATCAGGTTTTCTTTTTAAAGGTGGAGGGGAAAAAACTTTCCCTCTCACAAAAAAAGATTGGGAAAACAAGAATGTTGTTAGAAAAACACACCTGAAAATCTGGATTTGTTAGTGTGGAAGAAATCCTAGCAGGGGCTGGTGGTTGCTGGGCTGAGAGCTGCTGACTGCTTGTAACTTCCACTCACAAGAAGATTATTAATAATCAATTGGCAGTTATCTTCAAGGTTTTCATAAATGTTAAAGGTCAAAATCAAAGGAAGTTTTGCGTGATGAAGGACCACAAAATCTGGCCCTGATTTATTAAGCTTCAAAACATGCCACTGAGCATTAATCTTGCTGTAATAGTGGGGAAACTGAGGCAGGGAACTACTGTGCTCATGCACAACAGCAATGGGAATGGAGTTTGAGTTGTGGAGAGAAGCAGACCGTTCCTGATACTCTGCTGTGTTCAGAGTGGGAGATCAAATTATTATAGTGTTCCACAGTGGTGTGGGAGTTTTCCAGAGAAAAGGGTAATGCTTGGGCAAGCTGCTGCCCTTGGAGTCAGGAACAGTAAAGCTCGGAGATCTCGCTGTGAGTTTAACTCCTTTCATTACAAATACGCCAGATAGTGCAAACACACTGCTAGAGTCTGTATGTCTACACACGCAATCTGCACTAACCTGTGCTCCTGACTGATCTACACTGGGAGCTGTAGCCTTATTAGCTAGAAACCTTTGAGTGGCAGCTCTAAATTTGAAAGATTTTTCCCCTTCTAGTAGCTACACTTTGCACAACACCGGCAACAGGGGACTGCGAGGAGGGTGGGACACGGGCATCCCCCTCGCTGGGTTAGGTATGGCAGTTAGATAAGGCAGATGGCACTTCCAGCCCAGGGTTCTGCCTACCCAACCCCAGGAACCAGCCTGCACCTTCCCGTCTTCTGTGCTCACGGTGGGGCTGTAACACCGACAACCGAGGGCCACGCATGCAGGTTCCCGAAACGGAAAGCCACCTGCTCTCTGGTGCAGTAGCTTCACGTGTGAACTGTTTGTACTTAGCTTTTAGTCTTGAAAATTGCCACAAGATACGCTATTACAATTAATCATTAAAGACTTAAGAAAGAGTATACCCTATTACATAAAAGACTCCAGCAATGATCTTTATCCAACTTGTAAAATGGGCAGACTTGATGCGACTGAATAATTTTCCTCTCATCTGCACAAAATCATGAATGCAAGTCATACTTTGAGCCTGAAGTGAACATTGCGAGACCAGCCTATAATTACCAAAACAGAAAAAAAGAACAGCATTTTTTAATGAATGACAAGCCACTAGGTGGAAATCTAATTTGGTCTAATTAAGCAGCCTTTGTGAGGATTTGTCTTCAGATGAAAAGAGAGAGCCAAAGAGATCTAAATGCAAATGAACTCTATAATTTAGGTTTTAAAGGACCAGACAGATATGAAAGTATTTGCGTACACAATACTTTCATTTGTTTTCATGAGCGTACCCACCTTCTTGGTTTCCCTTGAAAAATTGTTTGCCCCAAAATTCTGGGACTCTGAGTACTAGTTGCTCTTTACTGAGGTAGAAGATAACGCACTCTTAGAGGGACAATTTCAGCAGTAGGGTATAGCAACTGTCAAAATTGCCTTTCTCTGTAACAGGGCTGCTTCTTTCTGCTGTTTGAAAATGGCTTTGGGAAAAAAAGGACGCTCTTTGCTAGAGAGTCAGATCCCAAGTCTGCCGCTTTCGGTGTGCGGCACCATATAACTCCTGGGTCTTTGGGGGCACCTGAGCTCCTCCTCAGTGCCTCCGTGTCACTGCGAATTACTTCAGTGTTGACAAATCACCACTTCCTTGCCCAGCTGTGTTATTTCTGCTGATTCTGCCAACTGTCTCAACTCTGGGAGCAGGCAGCCCCAGTACAGCCCCAAAGGCTGAGGCTCACCGAGATGTTTTGACTATAATTGAGATGGAAATATTGAAAACTATCTTCTCCTGGTCTATTAAATCTGCCTCTGACTTTAAGATAAATTTGTGTCTGTGTAAGGTTTCATGCCGGCGCTGAAGGTCAAAGAATTGCACGCGTTTCTGTAGTGGGTGTCACAGCTTG